GTCATGAATATCTTTAAAAAAAAAAAAAACCAAAGAATTTTTTCTTATTAATTACAGATCTATTGGTAAACTCAGTCTGGCTAAGAAAAACAATAGTAATGTCAAATGAATTTCACTTGGAAATGAACAGCTTTACGAGCTGCGAGACAGCATATAATCAACTGAAAAATATCTTCTTGATTTTTTAAAAAAAATTTTATTTTATTTTATTTTATTTTTTTTTTTTACCTGATAGGTGCACCTTTGGCTTGTGCCGGTCTCAAAAGTACAGTTATTGTAGTAGCGGTTTCATTGAGAGATGCATCGACTCCTTCATAGTCCGGTAAAGTGGGAGCTGATTAATGTTGAGTAGGAAGGAAAAGAACAAGAAACAAATCAGTGAAAACATTTTGAATTTTCATGAGATTGTGGCTGTTTGCAATATATTAAAAAGCCACAATCTTCATCAGCTACCTGAGCCTTTTTTAATGATTTTCCAGTCAGGTGCAATCTTTTACTAGAGCATGAACGGGACTTCATCAACAATTGATAACCCCATCCCTAACTGCTCCCCATCAAATCATTATACCAATCTAGTTTATTCAAGAAAGATAGAAATAGAGGGAGGAGGTGACTGCCAAGAAACGCTAAGACTACAAAATACCATTTTGGCCTCACTCTTTCTACCTTACAAACAACTATATTCACCATCTTGGAGACCCACCTCTACCACCTCTCTTTTTCCTCTTCCAACAATTTAAGAGCCTTTCACATTTCCTCTTAAATGTCATGGGAGACCATGCCAATACCAACCAGGCTGCAGGAAAATTGGGCTTGGACAGACATGCGTCTGTGGACTAGAACTAGATGGGGGAGTCTATCGCCATGCCCATTTCTCCTTCTATTTCTAACAGTGGACGGCCAAGCTGTTCATGGATCAACTTCTGAATCACTGCAGTTTTCAGCCCAGGGTATTAAGAAAAAACAAAGTCAAAACTAGAAGCAGTTCAGGAGCTGATTCACTGATGGTCTGGCTGCTAGGCCTTTGTGGCGGTAGTATTTGTTGTGGGTTGGTTGGCTGGTGTTCGTGATCACTTCAACCATCCGACTTTAATCTGCACAAACCTGTTGCAGCCCTCACTGGTAATACTGTTGCTGACTTCAGCTCTAGTGCAAGGAAAGAAACAGGATTTTCTGTGATTCAGAAAATAATAGATGTCTATTAATTAGTAATCTTTAACAAACTTGAAAACTATCTCTGTGTTTTTTTTAAATATGTGGCTGTGCCTTTATAAAATTGTTCATGATGCCTGTATGATGAACTTTCACAAAAAAGATGTTTCTTAGCAGGATGTCAATCATTTAAGTCATAATAATTTTACAATAATATATCAATAGATAGAGCACTGAAAGAAGATTAAAAACCTTGCTTCATTAGTCCCAGATCCTAGATGAACACAAAAATTGCTCTCATTTCATGAAATATTATTTTATAGAAATAATGCTCATTTAATGTTCATTTATAAATTACTATTTACATCATATTCACTAGGATCATAGCAACCACTTGTAAGCTCGGTTAAAAGGAATAATTTCACTCCTCATTAAGATAAAGCTAGCATTTCCAGAAACATACGCATTGCTTCATAAAAAGCATCAGTTATGTAGAGTGAAACTAGACAACAGTTCAGCATAAAGCAAGATGAAAAAAAACAGACTGAAATTCAGAACTATTTACATCATATTCACTAGGATCATAGCAACCACTTGTAAGCTCGGTTAAAAGGAATAATTTCACTCCTCATTAAGATAAAGCTAGCATTTCCAGAAACATACGCATTGCTTCATAAAAAGCATCAGTTATGTAGAGTGAAACTAGACAACAGTTCAGCATAAAGCAAGATGAAAAAAAACAGACTGAAATTCAGATACAAAGGATGTCACAGCCTGCCTAGTATTAACCATGTTTTGCCAACTAACAGACCCATACTGTGTCTAGAAAGTGGATTCTGGACAAAATTCCTGAAATTTCTGGGTGGAAAAAGAGTGCACATCTGAAGAAGCCTGAACACATTGTAGTCCTAAATAATCCAAACATGTTGAGGTCCTTATTTCTCAAAATATTGAAACATCTGGGGGACAGACATGCTAGCAAGATATTACATAGTTACACCTTTGGGGTTTTTTTCTCCTACGAAGAGAAGACAAGTATGCAAGTACTACACCACCATTATCCCTGAAAATTTGTGAACTAGAATTTGTTGTGAAGAAACACAAGGACCTTAAAAGAACCTGAGCAAAATATCAGACTTCAAAACAACCTAATAGCTAGATAAACAGAACAGAACATGTCGCTTGGTTTTTTTTGGTGGTTTGATTGGTTGGGTTTTTTTGAAGGGGCTGGGGCATAAGGAGTGCTAGTACTTATGTGCTGGGATGGAATCCAACAAATTGTTGCAGTTAACTACGACTACAGCATTTCACTTGCTATATAATTCAAGGAGATCTGCCTTGAATTTTCTCACATTTTGAATTATGTGCATGTTTTTGGGAACTGGGTGAGGAAACTACCTGAGTAGTTTCCCATAGAAACGATAGGTGCATTCCAATACATTATTAACCTCCCTTTACAGGACAATATAAGTTTCATTATGGCAGATAATAAGGAAAATAGCCTGCCTCGTGCTGTTTACATTTCTAACTGACTGACTGACTTTGATCTCTGCCAAGCTTTGAAGTTGCCATGTCATAAAAGCAACAGTCTCTCTAGATTTAGCACTGACTTATCTTCTGCTATCACCTGCATAAGCTACTATCTTATTTTTTGAGAATAATACTGAAATTTAAGAAAATAAAAATACTAAAGCATTCCATTTGACATTACTTTCTTCTACAGTTTGCAGTGCATTATTAAGATGAATAGTATCAATCTTGGTGCATTGCAGTAAGTGAATAAAGGCACGAGGAAGCAGACCTACATGAATCTGACAAAAGAAATGCGCACTTCCTCCCAACCGCCCCAACTCTGTTATAGCTGTGTGCTGCTAAGTGGTGTCACCTTGAGTAAGTCAGTTAATTTTCTGCATCTGACTTTACTATTCTGCAAAACAAATATAGTACTTAGTGACCTATGGAGTGCTAAAAGGCTTAATTAGTTAAGGTTTATACAGCACTTCAAAATCTTTAGATGAAAGTACAAGATTACACAAAATCAAACAGTTGACAACTACTGGTGTGCAATTTCTACCTCATGCAAGGATTTATCCCTGAACTTATGCTACTGTTTGGCAAATACGCTCAAAAACATTTTCAGTAACAGAGTTTCACAATATGATAGGATTTGGCGGGGGGTGGGGGGTGTGGGTGTGTTTCTTTCGCATTTCGTGATTTTTCAAGTCTTACAAAAAATGACCCCCAAAACCTTATAAAACCACACACTTTTTGTTCTTACCTGAGATGTTGGTTGTTACATTGATTGTGGTTGCTGGTCCAAACCCTTTCACGGTGCTTGCACGTATAAAGAACTGGTAAGTAGTACCGGGATGCAAGTGTGAGAAGACGTGGTGTGTGCTGTTCCACAGCTTTGACACGGTTTGCGGAGGTCCTGCGACTGGAACTGCAGGATCAAACGACCGTATACTGCTATAGCTGACCTGTGAAAACAATTATTTTTGTAACAATTGTTACGGTTTTTGGCACAAGGGGATTAGGTTAGCTTGGCTGGAAAGGAAACAAAAGACATGCTCATCTAACTACCCAGCTAGCTTGGGGATACCGTGAGGACTTGATGTGTATTATTGTAGAGTCTGCTTCACTTGAAAGGCTATGCAGGTGCCCTTCATCTCTCTTTCTTTGTGATTTTAGTTTGTGTATGGAAAATTTCACTGTTACGTTTAAGTTAGGACACCCCCATCATCCTCCCCATCTCCACCAAACCCCTTTATTTTTCACTTCCTGCAATACATTTCCCTCTCCTCTTCTAATAATCATATTTAAATGCTGTCCAAACCAAGCTAATATATTTAAAGCCAGCAATGATGTCTTAATACACTGGTTTTGACTAGGATGGAGTTAATTTTCTTTACAGCAGCTCATATGATGCTGTGTTTTGGATTTGTGATTAAAACACAAAAGCTTGCACTTTTGCCCTTCCGATTCTCCCCCCATCTCACTGCAGGGGAGCGAGCGAGCGGCTGTGTGGGGCTGAACTGCCCACCACGGTTAACCCACACTATTTAAAGAACTTTGTTAGCATTAAATAGATAAACAAGCAGATTTAAGGGGTTTTGTTTGGTTAGTTGGTTTGTCTTCCTCCTATAATTCACTAGTACCCAAAATTATATCCTCTGTTCCTTTAAAAAAGGAGTGCTGGACAGGATGGTGTTTGTTCCTCAAATCAGCTCGTGTTTCCTGCCAACCTCCTGCGGACGTCCCCAGAAGGCTCATTTATTAAATACACTTTAAATAGAATATATGTGGAGGTTTCCTTGAAAGGTGATACCTAAAGATCTGACAAAGCTAAAAAACATTGCTCTAAATTTAATAACCACCTTACTTTTCATGTAACCTTCTCTTCCAACAAAGAAGATTTCACAGATCATGGCTGTCATGGCTTTGGAAGGATGCATAGTAATGATACAAGATTTTTAAAACTAGCACCTACATTGTAATATTGTTATACTCACATGCCAAAGCCACTTGACAGGGCCGGCCAGCCAACAACATATGAACCATAATTACGATTTTTCAATATCTAATCACTACACAAAATCCAGTATTCTGCAAATGAAAGCAGCATACAATTGAATAGCTGCCTACAGAGATAAACACCCACCGTCAGCCACCCCTCTTGCTGCACTTTCCTAGCCCTATCCTATGCTTGTTAGCTGTTTAATGATTACCTCATACTGAGTAATGATGCCATTTGGATCCACAGGTTCCTTCCAGTTGAGGAAGATCTTATCTTCAAAAGGAGTTCCTTTCACCGACTTGGCAGGTATAGGGCCTGGCACTACAAACAAAATAAAACTTTTAAAAATAGGAAAGTCAAGAGACAGACAAATTAAAGAGATGACAGAACATCCTATTAAAGCCAAAAGTGAGCATGGGTCTATTTTTATTAATATTCATTCACATGCAAAAGGCAGCGGTAGAGAGTACGAAAAAACACTTCAAAGTGTATTTTGTCATTCGCAGTGCAGAGAGAGCATGAAGTTGAAACGTTATCTCTACATACGGTTTCAAAACTTCATGCAAAGTCAAATTGTCTCGTAGTATAGCCAGGGGAAACAGTTCAAGCTAGATTACGACTTCAGGGAACATCACTGAACTCTGTAATAAGCGTATCTTAGGACAAGGACTACATGGTTTTAAAATCCTTTTAAAAAGAAAAATCAAAGGCAAGGAAAAGCCTATGTCATACCCCATCTTCCAAACGAGAGAAATGCTTACAAAATAGTTTTCAGTCACCCCTTCTTACGATTTGTTGTTTTAACAGAAATCCTTGTTTAAAGAGGGGGCTGGGCACAGGGCAAACACACCAGCTCAGCTGCCACTTCTTTCAGCCACTGACATGCTCGTGCTGCAGAAGGATCAAAACTGCTTACTTCAAATCTTTCCAATAAGAGACATTTTCAAAGCTTTGAACTGAACCACACTAAGATGACCCTACTTTCTTATTTTAAATGGAACCAATATCCCTGGTGTAATAACAAGTCTGAAGTGTCACCTCAGGCCTCTTTGCCTGAGTGATTCACAGTACCTGGTAATCCCATCAACACCAGGCGGGAGCACTTAGTTATCTCCCATTTCAGCTTACAAGATATTTTTGCCTACACGTACGGTTCCTTTTTAACCACAGCAGCTCACCTGATTTGAACACATACATGCTGAAAGAAGGGGATGAGGATAAGAGAATGCCTGAAGAAACCCTGAACCCAGAGAAACACCCTCCCCCCTCAAAAAGCCAAAGTTGCCCAAATCTGCAGTCTTTCAAGCTAAAATGTTACTTCTACTTACTATATGGACATATATTTCTCTCCCCTTCTTAATCAGCCTATTTTCGTCAATGCAACTTTCAGTAAGCCTCACGCATGACATTTCTCCGGTATTAAATTATCAAAGCAGACTGAGGTTTTACAAAGAGTAAAAATAAATTAAAACCCGCTGGATCAAAGGAAGTGCCAGGCACTGTGCTAGCAGCACCAAGGAGTGAGTGGTCTGTCTCAATAGTAGGATTTATTTATATGGAAGCTATAAATGATGATCTGACCCTTGGTACAAACAACATCATTTGGCACACTAATAATAAATTCATGGAGTCAAAAAAGCCCACAAGTAAACAGATGAGAGCTTCACAGAAACCGTTCATCCATCTGTCAAGCAAAGGCTTAGGAGAAGTTAACTAAAATCATACGCTGCTGCTTTGCTTCAGTGTCGCGATGCAGACTGGGCAGTGGATGAAGGCTGACACGTCATGACAGCCCCTGTGTGCTCTTTGTGGCATTCAGAGACTTGCTGTAGGCACTGCTTTGTTTTTCATGGGAATGCTCTGTTGTTTTTCTTCTCTACATCTCAAATGAAGTACGAACATAACCTGATGCACACAACACCTTCCCTGGAAGATGCGTGCACGTGTGTGTGTGCGCATGTACATCTGTGTTTGGGAGAGAACGTAGGAATGCACCGGGACATGCACACGGTTTATGAAATTTGACATTAAAGCATGTTAAAGCATGCGAGGTAAAAAGAAAACAGACACAATTGCTCAAAACCCTGCAAAATACTTTTTGCGTGGTGCTTTTAAAGAACATGATTCATATTCAGTTGAAACTGGATATAGGACTCTCAGTTTTAGGGTTGCTAAAGCCTCCTACATTTTCTGTTTAAACACCCAAGTGGGAGAAGCCTCCAGGCTCATCATGTCGCGTGACTGTGTTTTCTTCTGCAATATAAAATTTGCTGCTTGTGGCAGCAGCAGCAATGTTAAACTGTCTAGAACTACATGATCCCAGTTAGTTTCATGCTTCTTTTCCCACTGGCACGAGAAGGGCACAAGAACACAAGCTAGCACAGTGATGAGCAGCTTGCTGGGAATCCAAGTAAAAATAAGGTCAGAACGTAAAAGAGAGCAAAAATGTCTAGAAAGAGAGAACCTTAATTCCCACAAACCTCACCCACCCCTGCAAATTCACCAAAAATGAAGCTTGGGATCAGCTTAAATTATTCGAAAGCTCAACTGGAATTAAAACAAAGAAACAAATACAAGTTCAAACGCCTAGAAGAAGGAATATAAATTAATTTTAGTTTGAAGGACACAGTTTGGTGGGTCTGAAGTTATTTCTTCCCTTCCATTTTTCCAGCTCAACCACAGTAAAAATGTCTTTTATTTGCACAGCTTTACCAAAGGGGCAAAGGGAAGTGTGGAAAGAGAAAAGCAGGAGCAGGAATTTGCTTAAAGAACAGAGTATCTGTGAGCAAGCCCATAGATTCATCGGTCAGGTTAGTCAAAATAATGCCTAAACTTCCACATCTGTGTTTTTATGTCTTTGTCCTCAGGTCAGTTATTAGTTACAAACAGAAATTTAAAAAAGGCTGAAAGTAGTAAAAAAAAACCCATACAAGGAAACAAAAGATCAACAACAGAAGAACAACAGCAAGGTAACCTGTTGGTAACACTATTTTGAAGACTCAGACTACATCTTTCCAGGTAGGCAGCCATTGCTGTCTATTCCCTGCGACTCCCAGCAGGACTCTAAGGACTTAAGAAATACCTTAAACTTCACCTTTCCAAAGCAGTGTTCCCTTTTATACAATATTTAACAAGGACTCTGGTGAGAAACAGCCAGGTAAACATCACCCTTGTGCTGATAACAGCTTTCGGAAGCCTCCTCACAAACAGCCCAAAAGACTTTCTTCAGGCTTGCGTGTGCATCTCCAGAAGCCCCATCGCTCACCACAGCGCCTCTTCACTGCTTTCTCAGCTCCCATTCTTCTTCCTACGTGAGCCCTCGCTCTTCCCCTTGGACTTACGGATAGTCTACACTAAATCAAAACACTCGAGACTATTACAAGTGTACATTAAGGTGAAGTACGTTACTTAAGATTCCCTATCAATGGCCAGGTATCTGAATAATTCAAAAAGTATAAGTAGCTGCTCGAGGAGTTGGACTCGGACCTTTTGGCCTCCGCACCCTCTAAAAAGATTCTGGTCCCATTCATTTTCTTTCCATCTGCTGACCTTGTGAAGTGTGACCCCACCATCTCTCAGTGACAACAGTAAACACTCTCTCTTTCACATGCATTATTCTATGCTAAACTTCCAACAAGTCAAGATTTACACTTATCTTAAGAAGTGAAATCATTCAGGTGGGTTTAATTGTATGGGTTTCAGAAGAGATTTTGAACTTAAACAAAAAAAAATTATTTTTCCTATAAGAAAGTATACAAACATAAAACGCACGTGTATATAAAAGTAACATAAAACAAATTCAAAGGGAATTTCAGCAAGGTTTTATAGTGGGAACATCACAAGCTCCTCTTTCACGATTTACATGCATTTCCAGAGCCCTTCTAATGAAGCTATATATTCGTATAGTGAACAGCTGATAATCTTTTCTTCTATGTACCTGTGGGATGGTGGACTTTTATAAATACGATGCATAATAAAAGTACAAACCATCAATCTGACATCAGATCAATTCATTTTAGAGCAATATATTTGCATTAAATTATGTCACAGTCACAAACAAATTGTTATTCACAAATAGTGTCACTTAAACCTTGTTCTACACTAACTTAATGGGAAATTTATATTACAATACATTACTTCTGGAAGAACAACGTATTAACTGACACCAACCACTATAAAAATGAATTTATATTGCTTCAGTTTTCCCACTACAAAATAATGAAAGTGCATGTAAACCGTATTTTTATTACTATTATACTCTGTGAAAGCCGTGCAGAGTATTATTATGCTATATGGTAAAGGCTATGTGCAGATATATACACGGTTATAGTGGGAAAAATTCCTTTGTGGTACTCAAAAAGTAAAGTGTATCAGCAACAAACTTACAGCCTTTCTCTGAAGGTAGATGCTCATTTTCAGGAGATGGTGACAGTCAATCTCTTCCACTGTTTAAATGTTGCAAGCAATTAAAATGGCCCACATTACCATTTGCTTTTTCTGAGGGATTTACCATTTTAACTTTATGCTTTGTTAAAACTTGAGACTAAGGCTTAAATAGAAGCAAATTTTATATAATAAAAAGGAAAAAAAAACCAACCCAGAATTGCTATTACTAGTCTTTACCTAGGGGATTTACAACAACAGGGGCGGTTACAAAAAAGACTTATTTGGAAATCACTCAAGCTGCACCATTTGCAATGAAGAAGAAAATGCTATTGAGTGCTATCGAGAAGAAAACTGACTGCATATTAATAGTCTCCTTCGGTGCGCATGCTCTTTGGTTAATGATCTCTCCTCCTGGAGGAGCAAGGCTGGCGCGGGCGCCCTGGGAGGTGGCAGGGGTGCTGCCCTCCCCAGGCAGCGGGCAGCGGGGGGGCACTGGGCCGCACTCCCCAGGACTTGGCGAAAGCCCACAGCCCTGCACAGGTCTGCGTCACCCACCCGGGGCCACTGCTGGACTGCGTGGGCACTGACCCGCTCACGCCAGGGACAACTCCCTGTACCTTCCAGCCTATATAAAATTACTAACACAACAAATATAAATGCTTACAATCAAGCTACTAACCAAGCTGACAAAGGCTAATCAGTCTCAGCAGCGGCGGCACTCGCCATAGATATTGGTGCAAATATCAAATGGGGTGAAATCCACGAGTTGTGGATTTGCTGAATTTGGGGGCTCAGGCACCTAACACAGCATTTTGTTTAAAGCCTTTTTACACCAAATGCTGACTTCCGTACTCCTCATGTCTGGGACTTGGAAACGTTTCTCCACGTCAGGGTGAAATAACCTCACATACTCACACACCTTACAACTTTCTGAA